GGTTGAATTTATTACACATACGAGATGAGGGAATTCTTCTTCATGAGCTGCTAGAATTAACTCTACAACTAAACATTTTTATGTTATGTATCCGCTCCTGGTGGTTTTGACGGAGGAGGAGATTATAGAGTTGTTGGTGGTGGTGAGTTGATTAGTAATCGTTGTAGTCTGATTTGACGTCGTATCGAGCGACAGAATGTGGCTGCCACTTAAGCACAACCCTGTTTCTTGCTAAGACCACCATTTTTTCAAGCCAACAACTTGAGGGGGTACGTGCCCCCTCTGACCCTTAGTGAGATTCGTTCTTGTCCATGTGTAGCCATGTTATTAACGATTGACGATATTCAATATGATGTGCAACTAACGAAAACTATCAAACTTGTAGATAAAGTATGATATCACAGCAAATTTGAGCCACAAGTTCACATATCTTAGCCAGCCCTCAATGTGCCAAGACCTTCAACCTTTTGGTTTGAAGAATAATCAAACTATAGTAATAATATTTAGTATTAGAGAGAGAAGAATATGAAGGAGGGAGGGTGAGGACAAAGGAGAAGTGTTTGTTCATTGTTTGTTTTATCGTTGGACGACACTGGAGAGAGCCAAAGACTAAAAATAAACCGAGAAAAGTGGGTGTGCTGGAAAAGACATGGCGCCCCCGATAAAGATTTTGGCAGTACGGACCAGACATGCACATTCTTATATGCCCTAATGTGCCCAAAATATGTTCTTCCTCGGGCAAGCTCGAGATTTAAGGGTGGTTTGTTCATTTGTTTGTTTGTTGCATTAAAATGCGGTTTAAGGGAATGTATGTCGTGGAATAAACTCATTAATTATACGAGGAGAATTTTAATGTGATGCTGGTTCTAATTTGATTTAGTTATTGGAGGGTTCATGGATTTTGCAAACAAGTGGTACTCGTTGGCTTGGGGTTTTTGATGTTGGGTTGGGCGCTTCCAATTTCCAAACAATAGAGGCATTCAACCATCACATAATGGTCCACTAGATAGGGACAAATTTCATACTCATATTTTATACGATATGTCTTGAGTTTAATTCCTGACACTGGTGATCACATGATGATAGCTCGAGAGAGACTAAAATGTCTATATATGCGAGTCTTCCGCAAATGATTGATGAAGATAGATGATCTGCCACAATTGTTACGAGAGTTTGCAACCATGTGACTCCACTTCTTGCTGGCCTTCGAAAGAGTAGATTACCGTGATGAAGCCACCATCTTGTCACATTCTTAAGGAAAGAAAACCCATAGAGATTGTATTTCAATGTTGTAAGAAGTAAGAACTAGTTATTTACCTTTTATTAGGGAATATAGTCTATGGTATTTGATATTTTATGGGTAATGTTAGGAGATCAAATTTAAAACTAAATGATGTGTTAACAATAAAAAAATAAACACGTTAATCGACACTTAGTTAATAATCCAATCATCTACAAGCACATCATTTGATTTGCAATTTTAGTTTAAAAAATTGATCTTCCTAACATTACCCATATTTTATTATTGTTAGACACCACAAGGTCAAAAAAATGTACCTTATGTTTATGGACCACCATATTGCCAATTATTATATTTATGTCTTTTACTTAATTGAATCCATTTGTACATGGTAAGTCTTTTTCATTGGATAAATGTATACTAAGTACTCTTGAGCAGCCACATATACATGCAATTATTCTAGGAAATTGCAATAATGATAATTCTAGGAAATTGCAATTATTCTCTTGGAAGACCTGAGATTAGGGATCTCCAAACCCTAGACATTGACCTCTCGAAAAGTATACAACTGTGCGAATGCCGGTCGTCTCTATACTCTCACGGGTCACCATCCTCACATTTACTACATTTTTTATTACCTGTTTAATTACTGTTAATTAGACCGTTTGGATTACAGCAATCCTACAAACAGATATGATAGGGTTGCGTCGATGCATACATCATCCGCTATAGTCTCTGTGGGTGACAATAATTCTAGTAATGCCAGTGCTAAAAATTTGATCATCCCCACCATCAATTTCGTAATCCTCATTCTTTGTTATTATTATAATTGCAAATCAGAGACAAATTCGTTTTGAAAAGTCTTGGTGGGAGCAAGATTCATTTTGAGGAGATGACTTATAACATAGTTAAACCGTAGATTTTCAATTTTATTTGCTAGATTTTACTAAAACATATAACATATATATTACCAAAAAATAAAAAACTATATCCGGATGTTAATCTATGGAATTAGGTGGCCTGTATACTTTAGAGTGTCAATCACAACATGTTTCATCTATGTTCATCAACTTTCTTTCACTTTTAAGATTTTCATATTTCATTAGATTAAACCTATGAATTCACATTGCCGATTTACTGACCAGTAGAGTTGGCAATTGAAATTGACATCTAGATAAAAGTTCGAACATAGGGAAGAAGTTGTAATATATACATATTCCTTGATTACTTCTTCATGGTTGTCTTAAATATGTAGCCTCTCTTAAGTTGGTTAAAAAACTATAAGTAAGTTGTAACTCAGTTGGTCAAGAGCAATTGCCTTGCATTCGAAGTTTTGTGTTCGATTCTCCATCTTCATAGTTTAAATGAATTTAGTGTAGATTCTCTTATCGTTTGTCAAAATAAAAAAATCTGTAACAATAATGTCGTGGACTGAAATGGAATTTTTAGTGATTCATAAATACCGTATCCATCATTAACCTAAAAAGTGTTTGCAGGACACACAATTCATCGCTATGTATAAACACAAAATGAACAAGAAGGGAATTCAAACCATGTATGCCAATCACGAAACTTCTTGTAGCGGAGAGATTTTTCAGTATGATCGGCACGCGGAATGGTACATCACGTGTCGTTATATAAATGGTGGGATATGTGTGTTAAAAAATTAATTACTTAAAAATAAAATTTCTCATCACTTACATAAAAACACGTGATATATCATCTGTGTTCTTGTCACAACTAGAAATTTCTCCTTGCAACGACTCAGGTTAAGGTAGGCTATATATCTCGGAGGCAGATTGTCTGCCTTCCTGTTTGGATGCCCTTCCCATTCCCTCCTATTTTGTGCGGTCACGGTTAAGCTATGTCAACATTTTATATTGATTTTTTTATAGAGATAATAAGATAAAAAACAATAGGAATATAAAATCTTGACGTGACTTAACCGTAACTACACAAGTAAGAAGGAATGAGAATGACATCCAAGCAGGAGAACAGACAATCTGCCTCTGTATATCTCTCAATAATTCCTACACTGACAACTGACTCATCGTGCAATGAATTAATACTCAGCATTGTTTCTTATCATTTAATTAGCAGATCAGGGATATTATTTAATTACTTGAACCCTCCCGTACAATTATTAAAGTCGTTTCGTTTTAAAATTTTTATACAATGATATATGATGAGAGAATAAATTGGTATTAAATTTTAAAATTTATGAGATTTAGATTAAAATTTTTTTTTTTGGTAAAAGATTTAGATCTAAAATTTTTCATTGAAGAGAAATACAAGTATATATTTATGGGGATGAAAGGGGAATTCCCGTCTTACTTGTGAAACTCATTTCATCGTCCAATGAGATAATTACATGTGAAAGGAGAGGCCTCTTAGACAAATTTGCCTCTCGAATCCCGCCAAAAAAAAAAAGAAACGCAGGATCTCGCCTGCATTCAATGAAGCGGGTAATGCCCCGAACCACAATCCAAAAATGGGATTCACCTGTGTTCGACTTTCATACCAAACACGCTCAAACCAAATATATATATATATATATATATATATATGGCCAAGAGCCTCATAATCAATTGACAGAAACAAATTTCGTTAATATGACTCGATCATAGGTCATAACTCACAAGTATTCAGAGTTCCGAGACTCAATGGATCATAATTATATTAATTACCACGTCTCTACAAATCAAACGGCTAATGAATTAATGGGCAAATCATAGTTCAACCAATGAATGCATGCCATGCACATACACTTGTACGAGTTGTCATCGTGCTCAAGCTTAAATTATTTACGATGTTATGTTGTTAAATTAATAATCTTAGCCATTATATATGAATGAATTGTTGTTTGAAGCCTTGAAAGTTCGTGTGACTTAATTGATTTTGATTTTTATTTTTTTTATCAAAATAACCCACTCAGTCTAAATTTAATATAAGAGAATGCTTGTTTCATCGTTCATTTAATTAATTAATTTGCAAATTTTATGTATGTTTATTTTTATTTTTATTTTATATAATTTCTTAATAAATTCTTATTATCTTAAAGAAAAAAACACACCGTATTACACTTTACAATACACATGGATCACAATCACCCAGAGTAGTAAATATACATGTATTATATAAGCACAAGGATTGTCTACCCTCCCATTTTTGATGCTCTTCTATGCCCTCATGTTTATGTGGTCACGGTTAAGCCACGTCAACATTTTATATTAGTATTCATTTTTGTCTTATTATCTCTATAAAAAATATATATAAAATGTTGATGTGGCTTAATCGTGACCACAAAAAAAAAAAGGACACGAAAGGACATCAGAAATGAAAGAGTAGACAATCTTTGTCCATTATATAAACCTTGGCAGATGGGTTGATGGGACGGAGAGAAATACATTGTGTACTCAGATTCACGCTAGTGAGATCCAATTTTTTGTTTACTTAATTAATAGGAATTGCTACCTACCTTTTCTGTCCCACTTTAAGATAAAGCAAAAGGAGGGAAAAAGTAAAGAAAGAAAAAAAAAACATAAAAAAGAGGGGAAGAAAGAAAAAAGCAGATCATTGTAATAAAGAAAAGGAGCTAGCTTGCAAGAGAAAAGAGAGAGGAAACAACAAAGACAAAGGCTCTCAAAACTCCATGATTATTCAAATTCTTTTAAAAGCAGGACCTGGGTTTTCCTCTCCCTCTTGCTAGTATACAATACCACTACTACTTAATCCAGTGGAGGCAGACCTCTCAAAGTTTCTACAAAGACTTATTTTGGGAGCTTCAGAAAAAGACCCATAAAGCTAAGGGAGCTGTAAACCCTAACTGGTTGATTGGAAGCTAGCTCAGTTGATTAGCTCTCATTCAGAATCAGAAGATAACAAGAGGCATGAATAGAGGTGGTTACCAGAGCTCACCGGTGCAACAAATGATTGCCGGAAACCCTAACTGGTGGAGTATCAACAGCATGAGGCCACCAAGTACCCAACCATCTATGAATATTTCTCCTTTTTTTCAGCCTCCTCCTCCTCTTCCTTCTAATTTTTTAATCCCACAATTTGCACCCAGCAACAACAACACTTCCCCTTCTTCAACAACTTCTTCTTCAGGACTTGCCATTCCTTCTTGGCATATTGAGAATAACATCCAGGAGCTTCCAGAGTCTTGGAGCCACCTCCTCTTGTAATTATATTTTCTTAACTAGTACTCTTTTTTCTCTAAAACAAAATACATAGCTGCTTAGCCTGCTTTGCATGCATGGACTCAAATTTGATATTTTGTTGTGGGTGCTGTTAAAAAAGTCATTCTGCAGTACTCTTCTGTAAAAAAATTTCTCTTATTTTTTATTAAATTTGGAATATAAAATGACATTTTTGAAGAGTGAATAACGGCTTGCTTATTATATATAGATCATCAATTACTTACTAATTTTGATATTTTGTTATAGATCGATGACTGACTAATGGGTGCGTGGTTGTGAATTATCAGGGGTGGAATTGTAGGTGAAGATGAGAAAGGGGCAATCATGAGACAATTTCATCAAGCTGCTAAGAAATTGGAAAATTGGGAGGAGCAAATATTAAATAGCGCTCAAGCTCCAAATGCTCCTGCTGTCGACGTGAAGCAAGAAAACTCAGGAAATAGCAACGGCTTTGTGTACGGACATCATCAGGGGAATGATCACATCCGAGATTTTAATCCATCAGCTGCAGCTTTGTCTTCTTTGTCTCAGATTATGCAGTCAACTGCTGCCTCTGCAGCCTCATCTCCTAAGTCATCGTGTGTGACGAGTTTCAGCAACAACAATATGTTGGATTTTTCTAGCAAGTCGGACGTGAGGCATCCACCACCACATCGGTCCTCTGATCAGGTAATAATTAACACTTTTTATATACAAGGTAATTAACCCTTAAGAAAGAGAGAGTCCATGATAAATTCAGTTTCAATACGAAAATTATATATTATTGTTTTCTAGAGTTTCCAAAATTATTCATTCCTTTTTGCTTTCAGATAAATTTAACTAGTTATTTTTAATACATGCTTTGAATGCGATGAGCTTAATTTTAATCTCAATATATGAAGATTAATATACAGCCATCAAATGACTTATAATTTATTTATTATGTGGTGCTTTTCTCTTTTCCAGTTTTTATTTCTTTTATTTTTTACATTTCTCTTGTAAGTTGTTTGTTAAGTCCTTAATTTGGAAATGAAATGAATCAGCTTCCCTTTTTTTCATCAAATAGTCATAAACTGGTTTATTTAGTATTAATTAAAGCGTTAATTGGTTAAGAGCTTAATCCGGGGTGATCAGTAAAAATTACTAAAGAGTTTAAGTAATATTAATTAATTGTACTCCTTTTCTTTGACAGAAAATTATACTCCGTTTTCATTTCTTTCTCTTCTTTGTTCTTTGTTTCTTTTGTGAAGTGTAACAGCACTGGAAATGGTGGGGCACTTAAGAGAGCAAGGGTTCAGCCTTCTTCAACCCCAACTACCTTCAAGGTAACGCTTACAACTGAACTAATTAATTAATCTCTCTCTCTCTCTCTCTCTCTCTCTCTCTCTCTCTCTCTCCCCCTCCCTCTCTCACACACGCGCGCAAAAACACAAAAAAGACAGGCACAAACACACACACACATACACATACACATCTGTAGGTCGAAGTATATCGTTGTCTTTCTCGAATGTCCATTTCTGATCAATCATGATGATTCTTTATCTCGTGTTTTAACTACAAGAGACCTCCACCTCTTATTTATGATAACTTACGTCTACATTCAGGTGAGGAAGGAGAAATTAGGTGACAGAATTACAGCCCTTCATCAGCTAGTTTCCCCATTTGGGAAGGTACGCCATGGCTCTTCCCCCTCAAGCGTCTAGCCTCTATCTATGAAGCCAAAAAACCAAAAAAATTGTTTAAGTTGGTGGTTGAAAATGAAATAATATATAGCACATCACTCATGGAATTCTTAATCAAGAAACTTATAAAGTGTGAACATTTTTTCATCAATTTTCATACTAAAAGCTTCACTAATATTTACAGATTGATAGTTATTGACATTTTAAAAATAGTGCACTGTTATACACAAATTTGTTTTTGCTCTTTTTATAAATTTATGTTGCGTGATAATCTTTTTAAAATGTCCACAACAACTCCCTTATTTATATACACTACTTTTGTATTTGTTTTTGGTTGAAAACACTAGCTAATATATTACTACTATACAATGGAGGGCTTTCTTTTTTTACCTTTAAGCATTAAAAAAGACATGCAAGTAAGTATGAGTATGACTTTGGAGGGTTGTGTGGCTTTGTATCTCTTTTGCAGACTGACACAGCCTCTGTTTTGTTAGAAGCTATTGGGTACATCAGATTCCTTCAGAGTCAAATTGAGGTAATATATATCTCTCTCTCTTCTTTTCATCAAAGCAAGACACAGGTCTTGAGTTGGTACTTGCAATTGGCCGTGATGGCACACAATCACACCGCTAAAGTTCTATTCTCTTCAGTTGTTCCTTTCAATTAAAATCTCTCTCTCTCTCTCTCTCCCCATAGTTTTTGAAGTGCTAAAAATACGATTCGTTTCATGCTTTTCCTTCCCCCCCTCCCCCCCCGGATGCAGGCCCTCAGTTTACCTTACTTGGGCAGTGGATCAGGAAACATGAGGCAGCAGCCACAGTTTGCTGTAAGTAATTTTAAAAACAGGAAACAAAACTTACATTAACCTAATTTTTTTTCACTCATCGCAAAGCAACATCTCCATCCCCTTCCTCTATCTTCTTGCACGCGCAAGACTGTATACATATTAATAATTCATTAGTTATATCTTAGCCCCGTAATTGATTGATAATGGTGAATTAACTAAAAGTTTCTTGTTAATTAGGTTCATGGGGAGAGGAATTGTATGTTCCCTGAAGATCCTGGTCAGGTATATACACATGCTAGCTTTTTTAGTGGACTCATATTTACATCTTGAACTTAGTTTTGGAAAACCTACAGAGCTAGACAACTGTAAATGTATGTATGTATGTATGTATTGTTGGAGAGATTATATCTTGTCACCAGTTCATGTAAGAGTTTATTGGAAGAGTGATTCACATTTTAAACTCATGACAAATGATTATTGAACAAGTAATGTATTAAAATGGTGCATTGGTTGCAAGAAAATTTCTTCCTTAGTGTGTGGTATCTTTTAAGCAACTAAAGATAAGTACTTTTTAAAAAGCATATACAAAGCCATGCTCATCTTTAAAGCTTTCAATCTTTATAGATTAAGATAAAAAAGAGAGAGGAATACATTATCATGTGACATTATCTTTTAATCATATGTTCAGGTCAGACTAGTCCATGCTAATTAAGTTGCTAATGCTTTGTTCTGATCACAGCTGCTCAATGACAATTGCATGAAACGGAAAGGAGCTTCTGAACAGGTATATATTCCAATATTCCATGCATGCTTTGATAACAAGATAGTTAATCCTTTAATTTCTTCAAATATATCTTTCAAAGTAATGTTTAATACTTAATTTCTATAAAATTAAGCTGCTCGATTAAATTGGTTTTCTGGTTACACATTGTTAGGATCCTCATGAAGAGCCAAAAAAGGACCTGAGGAGTAGGGGCTTGTGTTTGGTTCCAGTTTCATGTACCCTCCAAGTTGGGAGCGATAACGGAGCTGACTATTGGGCTCCGGCGCTCGGCTGTGGCGGTTTTCAGTAAAATGACATTTTGGTGGCACACAGTACTACTACTACAACTCTAATTAAGCTAGAGACCGATCAAGCTTCATGGAAATTAATGATATAACATCATGAGCAGTCACTCTGCTAAATTCAAAAGGCTGATTGCTCATGATGCTATACAATATTTATTTAATCTGTGCGTTTATATACATACGCATGCTTGTGTGCTTAATTTGGCGGGACTACGATGTCCTTAAACTCCCTAATTTTAAGTTTAATCTATCTATCTTTTCTTTTGCTGAATTCTACCGCTTGCTGCTATACCGCTGTATATGTCTATTCTTGTATGTCCAGTACTGATTAGTAGTACTAGCCATTTTAAAGTTGCTTAGAAAGCAGCATTTTGATTGAATCTTATTGATCATACTTTTAACTATATATACTATTTGTCTTGTCACTGACATAAGATTATAAGAAATATACACGTGTTATAACATAAGTGAATTGGTAATACTGCACGCATAATCACAAAAATTGCTATACTTCTGAGCTCATATTGTAGACATGTAAATTTGGTGAAATTAATTTTCACCAACAAATTAAATTTCAACTCGCCAGTTCTTAAGTGGCGCACACCATGGGTCCTACTAAATTGGACACATGGCATGCATGCTCATCTAATTGGATGAGTTATCAAGAGGGGCATGTGTTAGCATCTGAAACATTCGTCAAACAAATCAAATCAAGTACAAAAGGGGACAAATTAACTCCAATTTGATCAAATTATATCATTTAGGGTTTAATTTTCCAAATTCAAGATTTTAATTTAATTAAGAGTTAAATTAAATAATTAGCTCAAGTTAAATCCAATCACAAAATCAATCCCACAACTCACGAGATTTAGTGACACACCCCGATCCCGATGTCCGGGGACAATGGGATGGCCACGTGTTGGCCGACACCGAGAATGACGCAAGCCATTTATGAATGCATATGCCGAGAACATGTGAAACATACATATAAATTTCGCGCTAACTACACAAAGAAATTTTTATATACAAACCTTACCCAAAATAATATAATAATATTCAGCCGTCAATAAAATGATAGTGATAATGCATGACATGTTCAGAGCATACATCTAATTCAGAATACAAGCAGAAGGTGTAACAGAAAACGCTATTACAAGTGATGTCAAAAGCAGAAAGGATGACGCGATATCACTGGAAGGGGAATGCCTCGTAGCTCGAATCGTATGTCTCATTCCTATGTCCTGAGGGGGCACAAAACAAACATGAAACCTTTCAATAAAACATATATTGTATATAATGTGCTAAATAGTGATATTATACTTGCCTGAAGGCAGAACATACGCCCATAGACAGAACAGTGACCACTAGATAAGCACAAAAACATTGAATATAATCTTTCCAACATAGGTATATATATCTCAATGGAGCTCAATAGCTCAAACATCATATCTCAAAACATCTTCATAGTATATAGTCATCCATCATATATACTACAAAGAACATGAAATCGATAAAGCATGGTATTTCAAAATATTATCAGTAAAACATGATATCTCATAAAAAGTAAAATCTAATTTACTCATAAAATGTTTCATAAAACATAACCATTAAATCATGTTTTTCATGTATGCATTTCTAATAGCAAAATTATGCATTTTGGAAAGGGTCCACTCACAGATACTCTGTTGTCAAAGAGCCGTGCAGAATAAGAAGGACAGAAACGCCGCTAATAAACGCACCTAAGCACATAAAGAATCAAATTAATAAAACTACACTAAAGCAATTGAATTTGGAAAAACATAGCACGTATTTGAAATCAGGACGTCGAAACTAATCTATAAGGGTTCCCGGTCGAAACCTGAAAAAGGCAACCCAAAGTCAATGTTGACCGGTCAACGATCAAAGTCAACGATAAGGTCAAAGTCAAAGGGTCGGGTTAGATTCATCATGTCGAGTCAAAGTCAATGGGTTTAGCCTTTTAGGTCCTTGGTTTGGGCTTAGGTTTAGATTTGGACTTGGGTTTAGTTTAGGCTTAGGTAATTGGTCTGGGTAGTTGGGTCACAATTATAAGCTTGGGCTTGGTAGCTTGGCCTAAAGGGTCTGGGTTAGGTCAGCTGCAAGATTGGATCTTGGATTTGGGTTTCAGGGTAATCGAGTCGGGTCAACTCGGTTTCAGGCCAAGGTTTGGCCGGTTTTTGGGCACAACTTCAAACGCTCATAACTTATTCGATACTCAACTAAATCGAGTGATTCAAAAACTAAAGTTGTAGCACTCAATTATATCAGGGAATGGTACCTTGCATGACTGCTAACTCATCGTGGATTGGCAGAAAAAGGCCTCGAAAGTGGCGGTGCTTGCCAGAAACTAGGTAAACTTTAAACGTTTATAACTTCTTCAATACTCTACGAAATCGAGTGATTCAAAAACGAAAATCATACTTCTCATTGAGACAAAGATCATGGTACCTTTCTCGATGGCTAAATCATCATAGTTTGGTCAGAAAATGGCCTGAAAGGTCGCGGCCCTACTTGGTTTTGATCCCGATGATTCAGAAGGAAGTTTGAGGTGAGCTTGGGTGTTCTAGGCTTGCAAGGATGAGACGAAGCTCGTGGTGCTCTTGGTTTGGGCTGTGGTAGGTGTGTTTTGTGTGTGTGTGTGAGTTCCAGAGAAGAGAGGGAGAGTTGCAGAGAGAGGGCTTGGGGAGAGAGAAGAGATAGAGAGAAAGTGATGGGAGAAATAGAGAGAGTTAAATTATAATGCAAAAAAATAGGAAATATCCCAAAAGGGAAAGGGAGAATCTGGGTAGGGTGAGGGATAAGGGGACAAAATTTCCATATGGGTCCCCTTTGGTTCGTAGTTTAAGAACGTAAATGACGAAACACAAGATATCTGAAAACGTTCGACGTTCAAACGTAGAATCTTCATTATAAATCTGAATTCGAATTCGTTCGCACCTACGCGTTTGTGGCGATAAGTACGATAAGAATAATTTAATAAAATTAAATCTACGCATTTCGATGAGATAGTCAAACAAAGTCAACTCAAGGGTAAAGAGGTAATTTCATAAGTCCAACTATATGAAAATTACACTTAAATTAGGACGGGGTTTCACATTTATATTAAGGGCTCTAAACTAAGACCCAATAATTCCTATAAATACGAGGCTCATTCTCAAGAAATAGGACTTTAGAGAGAAACGAAGCAAGCATAAGACTTTGGAGAAACCGGAAAACTCTTTGGCCAAAGAAAACACCAAACACATAAACACTTTTGTGTTCTTCATCATGCTTGTGGAGAATCAACTAGAGCAATAACCACGTGCTGATTCATCCACCATCAAAGTTGAAGATCACCACCATATGAAACTTCTCGTGGTCCCATTTCATTCAAGATCAAACTTCGATGACCCTTGAAGAAATCACAAGCCCAATTCAAGATCAAGTGTTCACCACCCTTGTAAAAGAATAGCTACACAGAGATTATAACCCTAAATTCATTAATACAAAATAATTATTTTTGTACACGTGTTCTTATTTCTTTCATTGCAGAAAATTTCGTGTTTACAAAATTGACATGCCCGGTGGGATAATCTTTTCTAATCTCTTTCTCCAAGGGATTCAACTCCAATCTAAGCAATGTCGTCGAAGAAGGCTTTAGTTGTACCCATGAAAGCATGCAAGAATGTGATTGCTTTCACCACATGCGTGATTATGCTAGCATCGTCTCTCGAAACAAGACGAACGTATGCATCTCAACCTGACACACCGCACAAACGGTGTTTCCAGTCAAATCCCATCAAGGTTGCTACAAGAATCAATCATCCATCAAATCTGTCATTCAAAGTAAGTTGAAGGCTTATGCCAACATACTACTGCCATGACGTATCCACTCATGTCGCACGGGGTCGAAATAAGACAACCATTTCCGTTACTTCATTTGGGACAAAGAAGCTACTCTCTCAAAGCAATGAGAGGTGCTCTCCATGATCGAGATATTCAACAGAACAATCATCTTTGCATGTTTATAGGTCTATGCTTGGTTAGTCACCAAAAGAAGAAGACTGCAACGATGCACTCGAAGTCTTTCTACTCATTTAGTTTCATGGTAATGCAAGTGATTGTGGTGGGAGTTACTTTTGTTGATGAACAAATAGTCTGATGGCCTAAGCGATCGAGAAGCTGACAAAGACCATTGAAGAGAAAGACATGCATATCAAGTCGCTCATATGCAAGCTAAATGAAAGACATGGTGATGAGTCAAGCAGCGGTTCACCTCATTTGAGGAAAGAGGCCCGTCAAGAATTCACCTCCGACTAGGAAGGAGCAATCAAAGTGTTGTTCTGTTTTAGTGGTATCTTTGTTAACACCATTAAAGCATAATATCGAAGTCCTTCCCAAAATTCAATCATGTACTCCAAGTTATACACGAAAAGGTTCAATAAATTCAAACGCCGACGGGATATTAGCCTATCAAATTCTTGCAATTCGACTGAAAAGGCAAATCTAAGCAACATATCGCCCACTTTATTGAGACTTGCCACCACCATCAAAACATTGTTGGCACCACCACCTATCATCACCATCAGCATTGTTGCCTTGCCACCTCCAACCACAATCATCACCGTCGCTACTACCACCACTACCTGTCATCATCATTACTACCACCACATCCACCCACCATCATTAGCGTTACCATCACCAACACTCACCATCATCATTGTTACTGCTACCACAATCCACTATATCCATCACCATCGCCACCACCATCACTGTCATCGTTGTCGTTATCACCCACCATTGTCATCAACTTCACTGAGTCACCGCCGCCACCCACCATCATCATTGCCATCACTGCTGCCTCCGGTGGTACATTTCCTAACTATTCATGTCACACTTTATATTAATGACTCAATATACACATTAAATTTTGTATTTGAAATTCCTCATTCTTTTAAGTAAGCCAAACAAGAGAATTCATAAAATTCTGAAAAATAAATTTCCATTATTTTGAAATTTCTTAGAATTTTTAAATTTTCTAATGCAAAAATAGGGTAAAATCAACAACAAAAATTAGAGGTTCATTTCCTTTTGTACTTTCTCTCATTTTTCCTAACGCGGGTTACTCTAATATCCACCTATTTGGGATGGGATTTGGATCCATTAATAATTGCCAGTGGGAAAACTTAGGCCTGAATTAGTTAAGATTGAGACAAACTTTGGCATCTCAAAATTAGCTTTGGGCTGCCAATCACCTTATCTACTCTTCTGAAT